AGCCTCCTTCCACCTGAAATATTACTTTTAAGTTTTCAGCAACCTACAAGAAATCAGTTTGTTAAAGGGTCATTCCATTTCATTTTCATTTCCTACCCTTACCCTCAAATGTTGTCGCAAGCATAGCTCCTACCTACAGTGGGGACAGCGAGCACTTCTTAAGGGTCTTTCAGAATGCAATGTTGAAATGTTTTCCACACCAATCTCTCACAAAAGTAGGCATCCAACTCAGATGCCTCAATTAACTCACCTGAACCTGTTGGTGCTTTTTGGTTAAATACTGTAATGCCTAACGTTAAAACAATCAAGACACTGTTTAAAGACAGATTTCTGTGCCAAGAGTCCTACTAGTTTTATACACTTCTCCTTTTAAGAAACTAGAAGGGCAAAAGCATTTGAACACATTTAAAAAGTAAGCAACATGGCTGAGAGGTACAAACAATTACTGATTATGTCTTGTCTTCTTCAGAAGAGAAAAGTGAGTTAATTTCTAAGTTTACATGAACATCCTGATGTGGTCAATTACTCTTCAGCGTGTGTTTTCATTGGCAAAGTGATTATGCACATTAATAACCCAGGCTCCGACCAAAATTCCACCTTGCCCGGATACACTGATACAAGTGATTTATACATGTTCATTTACCAAGTTGTTCTAAAGCTTTATATGCAGGATATTCAGATTAACAAAGCTTATCAAATTAGTCCCTTAAAGAAAATGGCTCAAGTAGGGAAACTCCTCTGACTGTGCCAGTAATAAATTGCAATGTATGCAGATTAACTCCCATGAAAACATTTTAGCGCTCTTACTCATCTCCTATGCTATCTGTCTAACCTAATTTGTTCATAATAAGAAAAAAAATCTCCTGATCTTTTTCCATAGGCATTCATCTTTAAATCTAAGCTGCTACACTATGCAATTTTTGTCAGAAATATTTTACATTTGATCTCCTTTTCACTAATTTTTTATTTTTTAAAAACCAAGCTATATTAATCAACTAGTGGTTTTCTTCCCGAAGCTCCCAAATGAAAAAGGTCAGTCAATGGATATTTGAATGCAGAAACCATGCCACAAAAATATTTTGAGCTGTAATGTCTTGAATCAGGCCACAGAGATTAGAAATAAATCATTTCCTTCTTTGAAATTGTGGTATTGCAGGAATAGGATTAGGAAAGCCAGGGCTGACCTGGAGAATCTAGCAAAAGGATTGAAGGGCAGGAAAAAAGGACGCTGCAAGTATATAGCAGCAAAAGGAAAACTAGTTAAAACGTGGGCTTACTGTTAAATGGGGAAAGGAAAATGGTTACAAGTCACACACACACACACAAAAAAAAAAAAAAAAAAAAAAAAAAAAAAAAAAGGTATTTAATACTTTCTTTGCTTTGTCTTTACCTATAAAGCCAGCCCCAGGAGTCCTGAGCCCTTGAGACTAGAAGGAAAGTCTGCAGGATGGAAGATGTCATTTAGCATACACTTGAATCAGCTTAAATAAGCAGGCAGCCTTGTATCAAAGAAGGCCAACAGTATCTTGCACTGCATTACAAAGAGCATCAACAGTATGACAAGAAAGGTGATCCTCCTCATCTACCCTGTATTGGTGAGGCCACACATACAGTACTGCATCCAGTTCCAGGCCCCCCACTACAAGACAGATGAGCTTACTAGAGAAAGTCACGCACAGGGCCACAAAGATCAAAAAATCACCAAGATGATCAAGGGACTGGAGTGCCTCTCTTATAAAGAGAAGCTGAAAGAGTTGGGAGTGTTCAACCTGGAGAAGGAGGCTCAAAGGAATCTAATAAATGCACATAAATACCTGAAGAGAAAGTGTAATGATGGGAGTCAGATTTTTTTCAGTGGTGGCCAGTGTCAAGACAAGAAAATGGGCACAAACAGGAGGTTTCTTCTGAATACCAGGAAGAACTTCCATGTTGAGCAGGTGGTAGAGAAGTGCTACAGGTTAGCCAGAGAGACTGTGGAGTTTCCTGCCTGGAGATCTCCAAAAGCCACTGGGATGCATGCTTGGGTAACTGCTGTGACTAGCCCTGCTTTGGGACATGGGTTGGAGCAGATGGATCCAGAGTGTCCTGCAAGCCTCAGTTATTCAGTGAAGGTGATAACAGACTGGAACACCTGAACATCTCACCCATAGGAAGGGTAAGAGCTGAGACTACAGCTTGGAAAAAGAAAAATCTCCGGAGGAAAGCAATCCTAACCAACAAATGTAAGTACTTGATGGAAGGGAGTGAGTGAGAGAGACTTGGACCTCCTTAGAAGCACCCATTGACAAGGTAAGAGGCAATGGACAAAAATTCACATGACCCCCCCCATAACATGAGAAAACACTCTTTGCTGTGAGTACATCAAGCATTGGAACAAGTCGTCCAGAGAGGGTGCAGAGGTTTCCATCTGCGGAAATACTCAAAAACCAGGTGGACATAGTTCTGGGAAACCCAGTACAGCTGATCTTGTTTGAGCAGGAGAATTGGCCTACATATCTCAAAAGGTCCTTTCCACTTAGGCAATTTCTGCACTTCTGTGAAACTGCTAAGTACCTATCCTTAGCCCTATAGTCAAGTCAAGGTTTTTAACTGATGAGAGATGCTCTAAAAGTAATGCCCCCTATTCTATTGTCTTGGCCCAAAACACCAGAGGTAAACGTTAGTGATATACTAGTCATAGAATTTGAACCTTCCTGAAAACATTGCATTATATGTTGTTGATGTGTAACAGATGGCAGCAGAGAGGCAGTCTGACAGTATCTGACATGGAAGCATGTCTGAAGCAAAGGTATGTCACTGAATTCCTCCACAAAGAAAAAAAAAAAATGCACCTATTGACATCCATTGACAATTTCTAAACATTCATGGAGATCAAACAGTGGATGTGAGCACAGTGAGGCTGTGGGTGGTGCATTTCAGCAGTAGCAACTGTGATGTGAAAGTCACATTCTGGACAGCCATGCACAGCTCTTATGCCACAGAATGATTCATGGCTCAATCAGCTCATCCACACAAATCAGCAGACTAAGCAGGGAACTGTGCACAGAGCTGAGTATCAGCTTCAATGTGTTGGAAATGAAGGTGAACAACATTAGAACACACAAAAAAAAAAAAAAAACTTGCACCATGTTGGCCCCACAAATGCTCACACAGGATTATAAAGTACATCCTATGCAAGTTTGCTGGTACCTATTCAACCAACATAGGGATGAAGTTTCCTGGACGCATCATTACTGATGATGAGACATGGAGTCACCACTATAGTCAGAGTAAAAACAGCAGGCCATGGAGTGGTGAAATGGGAATTCTCCATTGAAGAAAAAGTTCAAGACAGTGCCATGGACAGATGAAGTGACGTGCTCTGTCTTTTGGGATAGGAAATGGATTCTTCCAAACAAGCATCGACTCTGTTACATCATGATGCTGACTAAGCTGAGGGCTCAAACTTCCAGAGTCAGTGAAGAAGACAAACTTTTTCTTGCAACATGATAAAACCAGGCCCCATATCAGTTTTAAGACTGTGAAACACACTGCCAAACTTAGCTGGACTGTCCTACTACATTCACCGTATAGTTCAGACTTGGCATCTTCTGATTTGCAGCTATGAAACAGCAGGTCACCTCCACCAGTGAAGACTGTCAGCACAGCACATAGGGCCTTGTTGATCACAGGAGAAAATGCATAGCTAATGGTGGTGACTATGTTGAAAAATAGTGTTTTGTAGCTGAGAATTTGCTCTATCAGTGTCATTGTGCTCTTTGGACCTGGTGTAGTTTCCATGGAAATACACAGAGAACATTAAATTTTGAGTGACCTACAACCTATCAGCAAAATAAAAGTACTCAAAAGTTGTCATGTGCAGTGAGTAGATAAACAGATTTACTAACTCAAAGGCCAAACTGTAACAACAACTAAATTGCAGCGTGGGTATCAATTTATTCTTTCATTAATTATACATACAGCCACTAGAAAAAAGGAAAAACCCTCAGTAAATTCTAAATGAGATTACATGCATAAGCAAATATTAAGAACACTGTGGTAACTCACCACAAACCAAATTAAACATATGTGTAAAGAAAGATATAACAGGAGTTTCTCAGCAAGCACTGAACATAACTGCCTTTCTGCTCTCACTGGTTTTTTAGGACACTTGCCACAAAAGCATGATAAACACATCACAACATACTAAAAATCTGTCCGGTTCCCAAATGACAAACATCCAGGAATTAAAATAGTAAAGATATTATTATTCAGAAATTAAGAACAAGTCCAGCCTGGTTGGCAACTAATATTTTAAATTGGTCTTCAAATATTTGTAACTTTTTTTGTTGTATTTTATTTGTAGTTGAACCGTAGGCTTCTCATGCACAAATCATTTAATTCCAGTAGATTTTTTGTGTTAGGTTTTCAAATAAGTGCTTTTTCAGAGTTCAAGTTATTCCATATATACGCAGGTTCTAATGCTCACATACCTACTTCCTTTTCATACCTCCTTCCATTTCTAAAAAACCTAAAACTCATCTTACATTTCAGCCATCAAGCAGTCTGCAGCAAAGTAATGGAGAACACCCATGGACATACAGCTCTTCCATGAACATATAGCTAGATAAATCTGAAGACAGAGGAGTAGTAAAGAGCACTGAAATTACCACATTGGAAACTTGTCACACACAAGTTGATACAGTACAACTGCTCAGAAAAAAAAAAGTTATCAATCTGTTCAAAGCAACGCAAGGAATCAAGCCAGAGTAGACTCCTTTTTCAAGCCTATCTGAACATAGCAGTGTGGTAACGTCACTACTGAACAACTTACCAAGTATTGACACTGTTACTGCTTCACAAGTCTTCCTGTGCATGTTTTTCAATTAATATCAAACTTATTTTCTCTTTCGGCTTATCTTGACCAACATCAAAATAACAAACTGTTAAATAATCACATGACTTTCATAACAGCGTAAGAGGAGTAAAGGAAATAACAGAAATTACAGAAGTCACAATACCTGTTATTGAACAGTATACTATGTGAGGAGCAATCTTTTCAATGTCTTCATAACCTAGGCCAATTTCAGCCAGCTTCCCAGGGACGTAGTTCTCCACGAAAACATCAGATACAGCTGCGAGCTTTAGAAAAGAAAAGAGTGCATAAGATTTGTTAACAAGCTTCTAAAAGTTCAATATATTTCTCACGTAGCTCGAAGTACCACTAGTCAAGATGGTCCCTGTCTTTCTGACAGAACAGAATTCAAACCTGAAGAGATTTTTTTGGTCTGTTAGACTGTGCATGTCTGCAAACAACACGTTAGAGATGCTGTGTATATAGAAAAGAAACTGTAAAAATTCTAAATCTGTGAGACAAAACTGCAATGTAATTGTATTGACAGAGTCATACTGATTTCCAAATATTTGATCAAAATATACATAACAGTCACCCACTTTATACTCACACCAAGCTTGAAGAAAGTGGGGAGAAAGGATGCATCTTTACCCTTCATGTTTCCCTTAGGATTCTGTAAAATGCTGGAGGTGGGGGGGAGGGGGACAGAAAGGATGGTGGTGGTGGTTCTTGGTTTTTTGCTGTTTTCTAGCTGATTCTCTTCAGTTTCAAAACAACTGATAATACTTACTGTAACAGAAACTACACACATCTTAAGGTCACCTCAATTAGAACAGCATTATAAAGCTCTGCAGCAGGATTTTCTGCATCACATCTGAATAAATGATCTAGTCCAAAACCTACTGAGATTATAGATTAACCTACGACTCTGATGGGCTTTAAATTACATCTTTTTATTCTTAGAGAAGTTAAGCATGTAAATATTTGTACATATTTCAGTAGAATTAATATTAATTAAGAACTTCTGAAACAAGAGAAACTACATTTGAAAATAAATATATACTATTTGGCAGAGTTGTGGAGGTTGAGGTTCTTTTTCAGTTCAGTTGCTTTTTCCAGGAATTTAAATACTCCCTGACAAGAACACATTTGTACATACATCTACAAGCATGACCTTAAAACTCTTCATTTCTTAATGTTATTTCAAGATGATCAGAGTCAAATTCTCTGGAACTACCATGCAGTTGTCTGATCAATATCCACAGCACACTGGGCCAGCTTCCATTAATTAGTGTCATCATATCTGCAATCATAAGCATTTTTGTTCTAGCATGTAGTCTGCTGAGTTGAATTTAAGGCCAAAGAAACAGCCAAGCCAGCAAATATTTCACAAGAAAGACAAAAACTGACTCCTATTCAGACAAGAAGCCATGTAAATTATGAATGGCTTAACTAGATGCACAGATGAGATGCTAGTAACATTTACAGAAAAGAACTTCAGCATACAGTAAAAGTGCATGTGGTAAATTATTTTTTAAGAGTCTGTGTCAAGGAACTCTAGGAGTGCCAGTTTTTAACAGTTACAATAATATGAGAAAATCCCCGAATTCTAAGCATTGCTGCTTTTTTTGTGTTGTTGTTTGTTTTGTTTTTAATTCATGACTCTGTGAAAATGACAAGCCCTTCATAGCAGTTACTTAAGAAGCCAGCATTCATCACAGGAAGGTTCTCAAGAAGATCAAGGTTTTACAGAGCTGAAGCTTTAGCTAGTAAAAACAGAAGAAGCTCAGAGTGATCTGTGACTGTCCCAATCTTCTGTGCCACACAGCACATCCAAAGCAAAGAAAGGACAACGCACTGGGAGCAGGCTGTTGATCGTCAATAGTATGTCTTCATGTAAAATAGACCTAAGGGGCTTTATTGGCTCTCCAGATCCTTTTTAGTCTATACATAATTACTTCTACATTTGGTAATATTACAACCTTAGCTAAATTCATCTAAGAAATCAATTATAACTTTTGTACTGCTTTCACTGGGTTTTGTAACCTATCCAATACAGAGCAACAGCGTGGGCTAATTTGAAGGCTGCTGTCCATCTCATACTGAAGAACCAACACCTGCAAACCACTGTGGGGAAAAGAGGATGACTTGCATTACTGTAACAATTAATAAGTAAATAAATAAGTGCCAAAAGTCTAGATGTGGCAACACACGTGCATGACTACAGTGCAAAGTGAAGATACAATGATTTAGGCCAAGGTTAGTAGCATATATATTCTCAGAGAATGAGATGAGCATAACATTCCAGGCATCTTACAAATATGGTGTCAGCATGGCCTCTAGTGCTCTCATGACACCTGGGAACAGGCTTTAAATGTAAGCCAGCAGTGAACAGTATATCTCTGTTGGTGTTCATTGCATTCTGCCCAGCATTCTGCCATCAGCATCAACTGTATTCAGACTCTATCCAAACCAACTGCACAGAATCACACAGCCTTAAAGCACACAGGGACTTTCAGTCTTAAAATTCAACAGGGTTTTAAATCCTCTGTTAAGTGAAGTTTCACACTAAACTACATGTCCTGCAAGTCCTTTGAGAAGCAAAGCTTCTAGCAAAGTACTAGCAAAGTAGTGTAGAACACAGAATACTATATGTTCCAGATTGGACACTTATGTGCATGATCACTTATGTGGACATGTCAGGACATCAGAAAAAAAGGCATAGTGAACACCAAAGTAATCATTAATTTGAATATAAGCAACACGTAACGAAGATACTAACTTGACAAATCAAACTATTCATCCCTTCAGAAGGATTTTTTTTTTTTTTAAATGAGTGTTCCATAAAGAGGAATGTGTGCATATATACACACAGTTAAGTGAGAGTATGCACGAGACATGATGGCTCTCTCAACCACATTGAACAGGAGGGAAGGAAGAGTGCCATCAGCTCCCCATCCAATGGAATTTCCCCAAGTCCTTCATGAATAAACATAGAGTTTAGTTAAGACTAAATACTCAGGACAACTGTATCCCTAAGTTTCTTAAAACAAGTTGCTGAATACTGCTGAGTAATACTCAAAAATGCAAGCCATATATGTCAGAGCACAGTATCAGTGCACATCCCATCACTGAAGAGAAAATAAGTTCCACTCAGTGAGACAGTCAAATTTTTGAATAGCAGTTAACAGTGAGTTAAAAGCAATAGGAAGGAAAACAAGGCTACAAGCAGAATACAGAAAGAGAATACAGACTAAAGAACAATTTTATGGTAACCACTCTGTAAAATATTCACATAATTATGAAAGAGTAGACCTTTGGACAAGTGTCTTGTCAACACTGTGCCAATCCAGGATTGCTGATTAACAGGTTTTCCTGCGTACTTGACACTACTAATTCAATTATTCTAATCATGCTACTTTTCTTATTAAAGAAAAATGACTCAACTTCATCACTTTTCTCTGTTGGATGTAGGCCCAGGATACAGTTCATATTTATTTGTATCTGATGTCCCAAGCTCAAAGTTCCTCTTGCAAACACAAACAATACTTTTTGTTATAGCAAACATATCACTGTGCAAAATTCAGAATTCTACATACCTACATCTTGATATTACCAAAAGACAACTGACAACAAAGTCTTTTTACTATAGATAATGTTCTTATATTTTAAAGACCAAAAGTAAGAGATTATATTATAGTTCCATTTGAGAGGCAATAAAAAAAAAAAAAGTAAAGACCTCTGCACCAAGCACTTCCAAAAGCTACCACTAAGCCAAGTAAAACAAAGGCAGGATAGTTGCTATGTTGAAACAAAAATTGTGTGGGGCTTGAATTCAAGCAGCCCAGCCTCAAGTTCAAAGGTTGTAACGTTGCACATGCTGAAGTACTCAGCCATTTAATGGCACAGATCATGAAAAGATCAGTCGTACGTTTAAAAGCTAAATCAAGCAGCCACCTTCCTGTACCAGTATTAAGATAAGAAAAAGGGAGCTTCTTAACCTGAAATTGTAGCAGTCACGCAAAGAAGAGGCAAACACTACAGCCAACTTTCCTCCAGCTCATCCTCACTCATAATCCCAGCTATCCTAAGCCCACATTCACAGAATCAACAGACTTTTTGCTTCAAGTAGTTTTACTTTCCTTCACCATTTCTTTCCCGAAAGGTCAAATAAGGTGAGGAGACTTTTTTCCTGGTTATCTGGAATGAATTTTTTTCAGAATTCCTACTTAGAATTTGACTATCCAAAAAATACATCTATATTTTCCCAAATGGCCGTATCTGTTCCCAAAACCTTTAGAAGATAAACATACAGCTTCATAACAGAAATGAATGGTTGTGTTCTTCAAAGAGTACAAGGAGAGGGTACTGGAGAATCCGTAAACTTTGCTTATAAACTCCAAAGATTGCATAGAGCTGACAATAAAAAAAAGTTTCAGAAGTACAAGACAACTTAATCTCTTTCCATTTCATATAACATTGCTGGCAATAAATCCTACCAGACAAATTCCACTTATTTCAGGACATACACAGACTCACCGTGAAAAGAAGAGTGACTAGAACTGACAGTGAAGCAAACAGGAACAGAAGCCAGCTCACAGTTTTAGATATGTTGCTACTCTTATGGTCTTTAGCCCTGCAGAACTAGTTAGCAGGCCCTACACCTCTCAAAAAAATAAAAAGGGATGAGAAAGCACAAGTTTTAAAGAGTGTAAAATACGGTGCATTTATTAGCTTAAAGATTACTAGAATAATCAAACTTTGTTACTGGAAAAATCATTACCTGAATTCATCCTTGCGTTCTCAACTGAAATACTGACAAAACCCTCATCCTAGACAAAAATGGCATTTGACCTACAGGACAACACTTCTGATACAGCAACCAAAGCCATGAATATACTGTAACACTCAAAAATAAGCAAATACTGGAGCCCAGTTCTCCCACTGTAAACTCCTTGCTCCCTTCAAAGAAGACGTTTCTAACTGGAGTGATGAAGTTGTACAGAGAGATCTAATACACCCACAGCTAAGCACTGAACTGTTAGACCTTTACCTCACAATATTTGATCTGAAGTTTTTGATGTTTGAGCAAATTTTATTATATCTAAAATCATTATAAATTACTCTGAACAATGAAGTCATTGTTCTATCTCAATGCAAAACCACAGAGATAATATATGCCACCTCTCACCCACAATTTAAACAGTGAATGGCATACATACCTATTTTTAATTATCACACCTCTAATACTTGAAATGTAGAGTTTATTCTTTCTTACACAGGAAATATAAAATTGACACAATTTGCATCCCGTTAAAACCTACCTCCCTGATCAACTTTGCTCCTCTTGAATTCTTCATATTGATAGCTATACTCTGGGGACAAAAAGAAAAATCACTTAAGAGAAAGCCATTCTAATGATTACCGAACTCTTCTAAGCATAATCAGTAGTCAGTTTTCCATATTTAAAAATATGTTTTTGTTAGTAAAGCAAGTGTAACAGATTCTTAAGAACCAGACAAGCAACAGAGCAAGTCTGATGGATGTGCAACTGGGAGCTGCACTGTGCATGGTATGTTTGTACAGCACTTACTACTGCAAGTACATATGGGGACAGCACGAGAAACATTTGTTTCAGTGAAAGCAAGCCTCTAAACAGCTTATTGTGTAACTTCATCTTAATACCAAAGATTCACAAGCTCTCTGTGCTAACCTAACTTCAGTATAATGCCTGCTTTCCCACAACTCTAGCTGCAAAGTAGGGCAGGTGAGCTCAGCTGACCCGCACAAAATGAAGTGATCCTTAAAATACTAACAGTAACCATCACCCTTCAATTCAACAGGGTTAATTCTGTACCAGAAACTGAAGACTGGCAGGACCACTCTTGCATTTGGAATTTGCTTCAGCTAATCTCAGGACCATACCAGAGACTTGCAGCCTTTTTTGTTCAAAATACTTCATTTATCTCATGAAATGTATTCACCTTGACAATACAATTAAAGCCAATGTAACTATTGCTCCATTAGGTACGCTAAGAATCAAATGAGTTTAAACTAAGTTCTCATGAAGTCTGTTTATGGAAAAAAATTAAAGATTGGAAGTTTTCTCTGACTGCTAATCATATTCACTTAAGGTTTTGTTGTTTGTTTTCACTTAGTTTTTTGTCAACAATCATGTACTGTGCAAAACTTTCTAGAAAAAGCAAAAGTAAATTATTTGGAAGAGAAGTGCTATGTCTTTAACTGTTTTCACAACTGACAGACTAATCTTCAGTGAAGCACTTCACGTACCTTTTTATTTCTATTGACACTGAGAAAATAAACACTTTCTGTTCCAACAAAAGGTGGGCCCCAGCTTCTTGTATCATCACCAGTTCCTGAAAGAAATATCACCATGTTCTCGTAGTTATTCAACATTACACTGACAATAAACAAACAAACGAAAAAAAATTAATTATATTAGGTAATATTTAAGCCTCCTAAACTTCAGCTAGCAGGCAGGGGAAAAACAACCACTTTAGTATACACGTTTCAGGGCATTCACTTCAGAAAACACCTAAGAGTGAATGAGACTAAGCAAAACAAGTTTTGCTTTTGTTACTGCTGTAATCATTATAATATGGCTTCTTAATATAGCTTGCTTTGTTCCTTCTGTGATTACTTGCATCTTAAAGTACGCACATCAACACACAGTCACACCTCAGTACTTAATTCCTTTCTAACTTAAGGCACAGCTTTGAGGTACAGCAGCACTCTTTTAGGCAATCTCAAACAATTTAGCAGATGCTCTCAGTCAGCACACAGTCAAAAAACCATTCCTGAAACACTATGGACACGAAGTCATGAGATCACTGATCAGCACTGCTCACTCAGCTGTGTGCTGAGGAATATCACCAAAAAGAAGCACTTGCTACTTACTTCTGTTCAGAAATTCTGTTGCCTTACAGAAAAGCAAGATGGCATTAAAGCTGGTGCAGACACCAATGTAATTGAATCTCTTATGCCTAATTTCCAATTTTAAAACCTTTCTTAAGTGTCAAGAAGACTAGCAATAAACTTAAAATGAAAGTACAGCCACAACCAGTAAATTTGAAGCTGAATTTAATTAAGATGTAATTATGAACCTGAGTGCCAGCAAGCATACAAAATATTTCTCTATCATTATCTCAAGTTTATGCACTTGCTAACTTCAAGGCAGCAGAAACTTTCCTCAGATAGGCAGCACAGAAGGCCAACATTAGCAGAGATACAGAACTAAGCTAAAGATTAGATTAAAGAAAGATTATCTTTCTTCCTCGTAATAATAAAATGAAAATTAAAAGCAGAGCTTCTGTTTCCAAAATTGAAGTGCCTGCCTTTTAACCAGTACTCTAATCTTGGATAGCAAGATGAATTCCTGTTTAATATTACCTGAGAAGCTTGGGCACAGAGAGAACTGAGTCACCTTAGCTCTCCAGTAGAAAAAACACCTTATCCCTCTGTTCCCACCATAAGGGGAATCCATGTCTTAAGGTGCACATTGCTTGTGTTTGACTCTTACCAGAATACACAATTTTATATATATATATATATATATATATATATATATATATATATATATATACACACACACACACTTTCTCTTATTAATCATGTTTTAAACCACAAGGCTTAAAAAATATCTCCTGAAGGGAAACCATAAAGAGAACATCATGGCATAGCAAACTGCCCCAGAGTAATTCTTCTGGTAATTTGTTTCTAGTCTTTTATTAAAACAACACATTTATTTCAAAACATACCCACAGCATCTCTCCACATGACAAAGGCACATATTTCCCTCTATGCAGAATTTCAGGCACTTTTTTCTATCATACACTTAAATATTTAAATGTACATTATTTAACTGAGGCAGGTTGTAAAGTGCACGTCTCCTTTCATTATGGTTTGTCTCCTACTGTATCTGCCATCAGAGATACACAGTGATCACTGATGTTAGGATGCACCATTTACAAGAACCACAGAATCACCAAAGTTGGAAGAAACCTCTGGAGATCATCCAGTCCAACACCCCTGCTAAAGCAGGGTCCCTGCAGCAGGCTGCACAGGAATGCATCCAGGTGGGTTTTAACCATCCCCAGAGAAGGAGACTGAGCAACATCCCTGGGCAGCCTGTTCTAAGTCCACTGCACCCTCAAAGCCAAAAATTTTTTCCATCCTGTTCAGATGGAAATTCCTGTGTTCCAGTTTGTACCCTTTGCCCCTTGTTCCATTGCTGGACACAACTGAAAAGATCCTGACCATGAACACTTGACACTGGGGACAGCAAATAACCTCCAATTCAACAAACTTTTATGGGTATAACTGAATGCTTCTATACCTTTATGAAAACCCTTTACTTGTACACATATTACTGCACAAGGCTTGCCTTATGGCTATTCCTTCTCATACCAAGAATGGAAAAGTCAAAAACACAATGTTCATCTTCTCAGAGGTTTGTACAATCACCACCTCACATGCATTAATGTTAGCTGTATGTGGAAATCCAATCATTTCCTACAAGAAAAGCTTTGAGTGAAGTTTCAATAAGCAATATCAGTCTAATTAATACGACAAAGGCATGGTACGCACTAAAAAGACCTGTAAAAGCAGGCAGAGTATTTTGTTTCTCAAAAAATGCAGTAATACCCCTACCACATTTCCATTACTCTGCTAAAGCAGCAAGAGATAAGGGCACGAAAATCAAGCAAAGGTCTTTATGTTGATAATACTGAGTCCTAAGCTAAAGTGACTGCCATGATGGATGGGGGAGAAAAAAAAAAAAAAAAAAAAAAAGCACCATATAAAGCATGGATGCCCAATCTTTTGGCTTGCCCTGAGCCACACCAACTGAAGTGGAACTGCCTTGGTCCATATATATGTAGGTTGCTCCAAAAGTAATGCCTCCTATTTATTTCCATGGAAGCTACAACATAACCAACAAGCACAGAAAGTGTTTGATACAGCAAATTCCCAGCTACAAAAAAAACTATGGCGGTGACTATGTTGAAATCACAGAATCACAGAATCACCCGGGTTGGAAGGGACCTCAAGGATCATGTAGTTCCAACCCCCCTGCCTAGCAGGGCCACCAAACATACACATTTAGATCAGGTTGCCCAGTACCCCATCCAACCTGGCCTTAAACACGTCCAAGGACGGGGCATCCACAACCTCCCTGGGCAGCCCGTTCCAGGGCCTAACCACTCTCCTAGTAAAGAACTTCCCCCTAACATCCAACCTAAATCTTCCCTCCTTCAACTTAAAACCATTTCCCCTAGTCCTGCTGTTATCAGCCCTTTTGAAGAGTTTACTCCCCTCCTGGGTGTAGGTTCCCTTCAGGTATTGATAGGCTGCAATGAGGTCACCCCGCAGCCTTCTCTTCTCCAGGCTGAACAAGCCCAACTCCCTCAGCCTGTCCTCATAGGGGAGGTGCTCCAGCCCCCTGATCATCTTAGTCGCCCTCCTCTGGACCCTTTCCAAAATCTCAATGTCTTTCTTGTACTGAGGGCTCCACACCTGGACACAGTACTCCAGATGGGGCCTCACAAGAGCCGAGTAGAGAGGGACAATCACCTCCCTGTCCCTGCTGGCCACCCCTCTCCTGATGGAGCCCAGGATCCCATTTGCCTTTCGAGCTGCCAGAGCGCACTGCTGGCTCATGTTCAGAAAAAAGCTCTGTATTTTCACCAGCATTGAACAGGAGTCTGTGTGCCAAACTCATCAACATCTACATCAGTGAAGGTGACCCATCATCACTGCTGCTGAAATGCACCACCCACCTCCTTGTTGTGCTCACATCCATTGTTTGGTCACCAGTGGTTCAGTGAGTGCTGATGAACGCCAATGAATGCCATTCTTTCTGTGTGGAGGAATTCAGTGACACACCTTTGCTTGATATGCACTCCATGTCAGACACCATTTGGTCAGACTGCTCTGCTGCCATCAACAAAACGTAACAAAATATTGCCAGGAAGCTTCAGCCATACTGCCATACCACCAACATCCACCTTTGACATCGTGGGCCAACATAATAAAACAGTAGGCATTACTTTTGGAGCAGCCTCCAAAATATTTATAACATAGTTAATATGCATATAAGCAACAAAATATTTTAATTTTTAACAGTTTTTGTTAAAATATAAAAAAAAGTAGAGCGGCAAAACCATAAAACCAGTGGGATATTTGACCTTGTTTTTTGCAACCCTAATATATCACCCTGGTTGAAGGCGGTGGCTGCCATTCTCAGAGTGCTCATCAGAGATTTCTGATCAAATTTACTGTTCCTGTACTACATCCTCAAAAACAGTTGCTCGGAAATGAACCTACTGCCAAAAGACGATGAAATGAATAAGGTAACTGTGAAGTGAAGGGTATTCCTCTTTGGTGAGACAGGGCTTATACAGGTCTGCTAAAGACTGCCAATCAGATTTTTGAATTGAATGCTTGATTGCAACTCTATATATTTAACTTAAAAGCATGTAAATAACTTATGTTAGCTGAAAATGGAGTCGCAAATATAACAATAAATTGATAATTTTCAGCCTTGAAACCTATTCTCAAATCCCTCTATCAGGATGGAAAGCACAGCTGCATATTTCTCACTATTCACAGGATTTGTGTTCAGCCAACACATCACAATTTGTGAAATTGTTTGCCATAACTTGAGCATCACTGCACTGTCCTCATTTCACCCCAGACAGAGCTAATAGTGCACAGATGTTTGGTCATTGCTGAGTTACAGTTGCACACCTGGGGCAGGGCTGGCTGAGAGATGGCAGGGAAGAGCCACTGCCATGATGGTGCGGGGCACAGGCCGGGCTGCACCGTGAGCAGTGCCAGGCCACAGGCTGGACATGCCTGATATCAAGGATGAAATGTCACTGAGTATCAGCAGTTACATTGTTTCTGGTAGCATTTTAATAGCTACTAAATAACTGTGGGCATGAAATAATCCCAATCAGCATGACATAAAGTTATGCTGATTTAGCTTCCCACCCCCATGATTCTTAAAATTGTTTTGGTTTTTTGGGTTTTTTTTTTTGTTTGCTTGTTTTAAAGTATAAACTGCTATATCATTTCTCTTTATCTTGCTGGGAAGGACAAAGCAGAAATTTTAATTGAAACCTCCTAATATAATGAAATTACCAACATACCAAAAAAAAAAAAAAAACACCCAACCAACATGATACCTTAAGGAAAAACCCTGGAAACTTATAATTGGAGGCTATACTACTATTACAACTGCTTTTATCCTCTTACCACAAGAGTCTCCAAAAACCTAAGCATTCCCATGACACTTTAAAACCTGAGCAAAGTTCAAAACACTCAAAAGAAATCAAATTTAGCGACGGAATAAGGCATGTTAGTAGTGATGACCCAGTGCTGTTTTGTACATTAGTATCTGGAGAAACAAATGACCTACCATCACAGCTTCAATCTTACCTTTCCTAAATGCATATTTGTTCCTGAACAAAACACACACATTGGAGTACAGTGTTAAACTTCAAGCAAACAGACATGCAAGCAAACTCATTAATAACTTCCATGCCAGAAATAGAGCAATTATGTCAACAGATTCCAGAAATTTGATAGCTATAGCTTCACAAAAATACAAGCTACTACAAAATTTAGCATCTCACAGCCCAATACCATACACACACCACCACCAAAAACATACATTCACCAAATAAACTTACTGTTGGTCACCTCTGAAAGTATTTAGACAATTGTATGTTCCCAAACCATAGTAAACATCCCACAACGTCATCAGAAATTAAACTGTTGTTAACATGTGAGGAAAAGCGTAAAAGAAGACAATTCCAAATACAGAAACAATACATACACAATCATTTGCTAAATTAGCCCACATTCTTACTACATAGAAAACAAAGGAGAACCTTACCTGGTCTTTCCACTTTAATAACTTCAGCCCCTAGATCTCCTAAATTCATTGTGGCAAAGGGCCCTGCAAGCACTCTGTAAAATTTAGAAAGATTTTCTTAGTTTTTTTTCCCTACAGTATTTGCATCTAGGCAGTGTTCCAAATCATAAACAAAACACAAACCTTGTTAAATCAAGAATTTTCACACCATCCAGTGGCTTTACATTACTGATACCTGACAAGAAACAGAAAACAGTAAGTTACTCTTGATTTTTTATTTTTATTTTTTTGCAAGATATTTCTGATTCAACTTAACTCTCATCATCCTCCCTCCAAATATAGGATAATAAACCTTTCAATGAAGCCCTTCAAAATCCAGAAATCTTACAGTCAACACAGCAGAACCTATTCCAAACACCTCAGAATTCTACAGTGAAAATACTTGAAGGTATTTTATACATGCCCACCACTAACACACACATAGCTTTCATAGACTAATGTGATGAAAAATCCAGCAAAAGCACAGCAAACATCACAACAGCAAACTAAAATTAACAGATAACAGATCAACTTGAAGTAGAGAACCCACAGCAGCAAAGTGGTCTGGCCTCTGCAGCAGACCCATGCACTTGCACCACACAAAAGACGACTCTGCATTTCAAAAACAAGTTATAGAACTGAAGGCACAGTGTGTGAACCAAGGCAACACTTGTTCTGCCTTTCAATTTTCGATAACTAAGCATGCAAGGTAACCGCTAGCACATCAACACCCCTTCCTCCTTTCCCTCCCCACACCTTCCAACCTGACCAGCCCTGAGAAACAGCCATCATTCCAGAGAAATTTGAGCTGCACAGTTTGGTTTTTTGATGCAATGTGCAAACCAGGCAGGATATGGATGAAAATGGGCGGGTCTAGGAGCAGCCATGTATATCGCACACTTCAAACCCTGGAGGAAAATTCATACTGCCAACTCTCTTCAACACTGCATAACTCAGTGAGAGCTCCAGGTGCTGGGAAATACCTGTGCCAGTGCCACGTAAGCATCACAAATCCTCCACGTAGCTGCACATTTATCCGGTTGGCTATACATATGTGAACACATCAACATACGCTTACTATCTATTACAGAACAGTGCGCACTTGCTTCACTGTGACCTTACTGTCAGCTTAGGAGAAATGGTTAACAGAGAGGGACCAGATTCCTCTATATTTTCCATTCTCTCCACTATTTTTCCCTTTGAATTATTCTAGTAACCGTGACTGAAATCAAACCCATTCTCCCAACTCTACCTTCATTCTGCTTGTACACAAACTATTCCCAGCACATCTGAATTGAGCCCAAGCAGGACAGCCACACTCCTTTTTAAGATCCCTTCGCTAGAGAGTAAACAGATTCATTCACCCTCAGCTCAGATGCATTAGTTCAACCCACCAGGCTGTCCCCAGAATAAAAGCAGGGGTAGCCACAGGCAAGTTTATTGTAAGGGTACGAGTAAGCAGCCAAAAAGATCACTCTGTGGCAGAACGGATCAAGTTATCTTCACGTCAGATTACCAAATTTTCCTCTATAAGTGATACGAGGGGGAAATGAGAAAAGATTAGCTCAGCACACTGAATACTTCTATAAGAATGCAAATCCGTCTGAAATTAATTGTAATCCAATCACTCTCAACTCCAGAGGAGCATCACTCCTCAGATGCCAGGTCCCAGCTTTGGCTGCACAGCCACTTTTATAATTAAACCCACCCCAACCAGAGTTTGCTGTCACACCAAGGGTGCACTTGTTGTGGGGTCACAGCTCCACGCTCCCTCCGACTGTTATGCAATCAACGCAGCTATCAGTGTCACTTTGTCATTATTTAATAACAGAGAAGCGCAAAAGCCAATGGAAACTGACTCTGACGCAGCTTTTTTCTTTTACAAACGAAGAGAACTGTTTGATGGTACGATTTAGAAGTCTTAGAAGAAGAAAAAATAATAACGATAATTAATTTAAAAAAAAAAAAAAAAGGCTATTAGTGCCCAGATATGCCCAGCAGCTCTCTCCGATGCGAACCGTGGCAGTCCCGCACCGCGGTGCCCGGTACTGGCACGGCAGGGCCGCCAAGCAGAGCCCAGCTCCGGCCGCCCTCCGCGAAGCGCTCGCACCCGCCACCGGCCGTGGACTGAAGACGCGACGTGGGAGAGAGGCTGGGCTGGGCGCGGCGCGGCTACCTGCCGGAGGAGCTGAGGACGAGGCGGCGCTCAGAGCGCGGGGGCTGCCGCCGGCAGCACGACGCAAAAACCTCCACAGCCCGCGGCCACAGCTCCTCCACGCCGGCTCGGTACCCAGCATCCTCGCGAGCGGCACGGCTCGAAGCGGCACTCGAACGTCAGCTGCTGAGCACCACAGCGAACGCCACAAGAAGGAGCTGCGCTGCGCTGCGCGTGCGCGCACCCCAACAGCTTCCCGCCCTCGGGAGGGAGGTGTTAAATTGATCCCGGCTTGGGGGCGGTGCGCATGCGCGGGAGGGCGGGGGGGGCTCTGCTGTGCTTTTGAGGGGCGTGAGGCTATTGCAATCGTTGTGAGTGATTGGGTTTGGTGGGGAGGCTGTGTGTTGCCTTCAGAGAACGAGCAGCTCTGCTTTCTTGGCCATCTTCTTGAAGGAGTGGAGGGGCTGTGTGAACTTAGTGTTCTACGGCTCTGTTGAATGCTTTCTTCTTGATGGGGTGCCCACCGCAGTGGAATTCCTTGCTTTGGCATTAGACAGTACAGGCAGGTGCCCTGCTGGGGGTCCTGGCCCTGATAAAAGGAGTCAGAAAGTGGCAACGAGCTTCAGTTTTATCTTCCATGCTAAGCAGGACACAAGTGGTTGGCCTATATAAATAGGGAAATATACTGCAGTGGTAATTCCAGTTGTGGCTTAGTTGGAACACAAAACCCAGGATTTATACAGAATGACTTTTTGTTCCAGCTGTGACACCTGGCTCCTAGGCACTTGTTTCTGGTAAATGGGTGCATGTTTCTGGTAAATGGGTGCATATGGTGCTGCTGAGGTTAAACAAAACTAAAATATCCCCACAAGAATGCACTATACTCACAAGCTAGGCAGTTTTACTGTATGCCAATGCTCTGACTAGCAGGAGAAAGGTCCTGTAGCTCATTTTCCCTGTGCTGAAGGCGCAGTGTCAGTTGCATCATAAGCTGAGCGTTAGCTGTCTATGGCTGAGTTAACTGGAAGGGTTCGCTTTGCTGAAACTGTAAGTGACTCTGCCCTGAGCTGACTACTTTCACAATATTTTTAGCTTGGGACCAAGAGGAAGGCTTGTTATATGAAAACCATGGTGCCTTCTTGCTCTGTAGCAGCATTGAAAAAAAAAAGAAAAAAAAAATTCCTGCACAGAGATTCAGCATTTATATGGAAAAAGAACTGTGAGGACGCTTCTGACTGCACTGCAAGTACTACAGTCTTAGAAGTGTTTCTTCACAAAGATCCTGCATGCTGAAGAACAACACAGGGAGAACTAGCTGTGCAGCAGGTTTGTTAACTGGACTTGCTGCGTGTAATGAAATGTAGGACGTGGCTGCTTGCAATCCTAGAAGCAGTTAGGATTTGTCAACAAGAAGAAATTCATCAGTAAAGTTATCCCGGTGTGACTCAGTATCTGTGTAACAGTGCCTATTCGTGTGTGAAAATAATTAAGGCACCAGCCAGAGTGAGAAATTGATATTACGTTGATCAATTTGCCTCGTGTAGACATGGCATTCCTTCTGTGTACCACAAAAGGTAGAAAATTGGTCTTTTAGAGAAGAAAAAACAGCAGAGGATTAGCAAAGATCAGTGAGTACAATGTCTGCGTTTCCATGTTGGATTAGCGAGCATTTCCATTCGGATTCTCGCAGTTCCATAGTTCTCGCTGTCTGAGCTACCCTAGCGCTACCGGCAGCTCCAAGCGACGTTTAGAAGGCTTTCCGATCTTCTAACGCGTCTTTACGTGCGTCCCTCCCTTCGCCTTCCCGGCCCGGAACCTTGTAAGCCCGGAACGCTGACGCTGTGCTGCGGGGCGGGGGAACCGCCAGGGACCGGCAGGCGCCGCCGAGGCCGCGCTCGTGTCTGTACGGCGTTACGCAGGTTTTATTTCTCTCTCTCTCCCCACCGCTGCCGGGCCATGTACCGGCAGAGCTTCCGATCCCCGACGCCTCCGTATGCGGGCGCCGGGTTCCGGAGCCCTCCCTCCGGCGGCGCCTGCCCCATGCCCCCCTCGCCCCGGGGCTACGGCAGCCCGCATCACACGCCGCCCTACGGCCCCCGGCCCGGGCCTTACGGTAGCGGGCTCTCACCCCGAGGCCCCGGCTTCGGCGGCGGCGGCGGGCGGTTCGGGAGCCCTTCGCCGGGCGGGCAGACCCCGCGCAGGCCGCAGAGCGCCAGCCCCCGCTACCCGGCTCCCCGCGGCGGCGGCAGGTCCCCGGCCGGAGCTGCCCCGCACCCGCAGCAGCACAAGCGCTCGCCCGGGGGCTACCAGAGACACTACCAGGTATGGGGCGGGGCGCCGAGGGAGGGAGCGAGCGGCGGGCAGAGCGAGGGGCTAGGGCTGGGCAGCGGCTCCGTCCTTCTCCGGGAAGGGGGCTCGCAGCGCGTTCAGCTGCCCCTCCAATATTACGGAGGACGGAGAGATGCTGGTGAGGGAAATGGGAGGGGCCCCTGGGCTGCCCGAGGCCTGGCGCCAGGACACGAGGTTCCTTCCTCCTAACGTTCCGGCACGAGGGTGAAGGGAGAATTGTGTACCGACCAAAACCGCCGTAAGCGTCTCTGTCCCTCCTATTTACTTCCCTTTGAGCTGTTCTCCTTAAAACAGCCGGGAAGCGCTGTGTTTTTCTTGCCAGTGTTGAGTGATGGTGCAGGAGCTGCCCTGTGCGCATAGAAGAGCTCTCTGGGACAGGCTTAGAGAGAAGTGAGGGATGATCTGCTAAAGAGAAATAAGCTGAGATTCCCCTAAACAGAAAGGAGAGCATCTGGTGAGGTCACAACATGCCTTTTTTTTTTCCTTGCCTTGCATTGAAAGCTTCCATTTATATAAGGTATATTAGCAGTAACTGGCTCAGTGAGTTACACTGTTAATCAGGGTGGCTTACTTGGTGTGTGACTGCTAGTACAGATAGGGATGGCAGATCTTGAGATGATAGCATACTCTGCTGCATAAAGCCAGATATTACAGAAAGGGCTGTTAAGCACTGGAATAGGCTCGCCATGGAGGTGGTTGAGTCACCATCCCTGGATGTGTTTAAAAACCACTTGGATTTGGTATTCAGGCACATGATTTAGCAGAGGGTTGTTAGAGTAGTATGGTTTGGTTGTGGTTGGACTTGATGATCATTAAGGTCTTTTCCAACCTGAGCAGTTCTATGATTCTATATGTGTGAGTTAGAGAACCCATAGAAGTGTAAGAAATATCATGTGCAGTACAGACCATGATAAAACTTTCAGGTGCTCCTACTGATGCTTTGAAATGTAAGATGAAGTCAAACCTTAATACAGACTACTGAAATCTTAATGTAACTGCATTATGTAGTGACATTTTCATTCAGAAAGTCTTGATTACTTTTTTTTGCTGTGCAGATAACTATCTTACAACAATCTCATAACTGATGAAAGAGACTTGTTATAAACATGAAACATTTTCTTTCTCATGTAAGGCTCTTAGTGTGGAGGCCTACAGGTTGCTTAAGCCTCTTTACTTTTTATTAAGAAAAGAAGAAAATATGTGGGGTTTCTGCCTTTCAGTAGGATTTCATTTGGGCATAAAAATGGCTCTGACATTGGGACGAGAGAGTTTAGTTGCTAATGTGCAATTTTCCTACAGAAGATCACCATCTAGATATTAGCTTCAGTGATTTTTAAAAGCCTGCCTTAAATTACCAGAGCCTGGTTACCTGAGCAAAAAATATGCAGAAATCCTTCTGCTGCTAGTGCTAGTCAGAAGTGTTTCTATCAGGATTTGTGGGCAGGCTCAATCTTTGGTGTTAAGAAAGAAACGTGATGTAAAGAGGTTTGAATCCAGTCGCAGGTTGCCTTGTTTTCGCTTCTTCTCTTTTCTTCTGCAGACCTTGTGAATAGTTTAAAAGCATTGACCTGAATGCAGTGCTTCTTAACACTTAGACATTTGTCTGTCTGTAGCTTTGCCTAGGACTAAGGTAACGTGTGCATGTACTTCTGTGTGTGTGCACGTGGGTTATTTTGCCTGAAGGCAATAGAGGCAGTCATGGAGGGAGGAAATCTCAACACCGTTGAGTACTCATTTTTTTGAGATGTGCAAGAATCCACGAGGCTGTCAGTAGATTTCAGTAGAGGGATTTTATTGCACGTTCTGAACATCAGATTCCATCAGAGGGGTTGTTCCCTTGTCTTCTGCACATGCTATTAAGAGAACTACCGTGTTCTTAAAATTCATGATGTTACTGTCGCTTTTGAGATGAAATCTTAAGTGAACCCTTCAAATCTCACACTGAAATCCAAAAGACTGAAGTCTATACTTCAGTGTTCTCTGTGATACCTTGTTGCTAGTATTCTGTGCTCACTTTTGCACTTCAAACCCAAAGAACAGAAAACTTGAACTTTCACATGGGCAATGCTTTACTGAGCTTTCTGTTTTTCCACAGGGGTGCACCTGCTTCTAAATTTAATGAAAACGAGTTTGTTGAATCTCACAAATAGCACCTCTTAGCGTTCACCTAGAGGTAGCATTTCACCTTCTATACTGAACAGCAGATAGTGAAGCAGCAACTGCTACTAGTGAAAACTTTTACAAAAAGTAAAAAAAAAAAAAATAATAAAAATAATCTTGTCAAATGGTACAAACATGATATCTGTGCTTTGTGCATCCGCCAGAAGGTAAAATCACATCAGGTGAAGAAAGCTGATTAAAGAAGTGATTGTCACTCTTGTCAAGATAGCATTGCCACCTTCAGCAGTGAGTAGCACCAAAAGTTTTCCCTATGTGGAGATAAATCTGTTAACTGGAAAAAGGTACTGCGAATAGGTTGGCCATTTCCCTAAGACAAGTTCAGTGAGTAAAGGTTATTGGCGCTAATGACAGTAAAATAAAATTATTTTTAAGATATCATTGGCATCAGTTTTACTTGTACAGGTAGGGCTGTACATTTTCCTTTTCCACAGCCTATAATGTAAGGAATCACCCCTTGATTTTTTTCCCTAAAGGAGAAAACATGAAACAAATAGTATTCTGAATCTAAAAAATGTGTTTATATATTTAAATTTAATGCTTATTGAAAGTTTTTGATTTTGTATGGCACAGTAATACGTAACAATCTGATGCTAGATGTCAAGCATGTAAAAAAATGGCAGCGTTGCATATGGCCTGCGTTATATTGTAATGAAATCTAGAATTATAAATCTGTCCAAAAGAGTCTTACTAATGAATTAGTTTGTT